AATAAAAAAGCTGTCAAATTCTGCTATATGAATTCTCCGTCTCGAAGAGTAAAACAGCAACTATTTGTTCACTTTGCTGATATTTTCCATGCCTCCTTTGTGATTAATTAATTTTTAATCGAGAAGAATGAAAGTATTTGCTTATAACACACTACTATCAAACACAGTAGTTTCAAGAACTTCCAAGAAAGGCTCATTCAGAAGTGATAGTTGAGTAATAAAATATGAAAAGCATTTGTTTTGAACAAATATCTTTCAATTTCACACCTCTTTGAATAGGCCATTGCTCAACCAAGTTTTAAGAACGAAGACACGGCTTATCAAGGGGCTACAAAGACACACAGATGTCCCAAANAAAGTTAGGATTTGCCTGTGCTAATTTTGTCCGTGAGAGAGTGATTTTAATGCAAAACCTCAGTTTGAGGTAAAAGCGGCCTTTATAGGTTATTCAACGAAACCCGCGCTTCCTATGCAAACTGTAAATCTGCGCAAGTTAATCTAAGTGATATATAAACTAATTTGTATTCTACAGTAAGCATCCACTGACATACAGCTAAATAATTCCGGAATGAAACCGTGCTCATTTGCAGTGTTATGTTCTTTTTTCAAGTTTATTTCGGAAAATAATAGCTTTAACGTGTAATATACTCAGCGTGACGACATGACTGAACCAAAGAACCGATACAGTCAAAACGGTAGTCTTTTTCCGTTTATTAGGTTGCAGTATTCTTCGTATCTCACCTTCCTCTTACCATCTGTGCATCCCATACACCATGGTTGCTTCCGAGAGATTGAGCAAATGTTTTTCTCGTAAAATGCACATGCATTTTATTCCCTATTCAAGTTTGTTTACCTTTCTTATAACTTAATTTCCTGAAAGAATTTAAGTAGTGTACATCAGTCCTTATTTCTGCTCTATCCACTATTGCAATTCATACCAAACACTTTTGTAAAATGGTTGTATTTCGAAGTTACATTTTCTAATGACCATTCGATGTTTCGGTTGATTTAGAACCTTTAAGACCCCCAAATGACTATTTTTCGTGATTTATGTGAAACTAAAATGAAAACACTGATTATTGAGGCTCACCGTACGTTTTATTAAAATGCCGATATTTTCGTGCTAAATGATTGCATGTTAACCTTGGCTGCATTCAGAACTCCGTGACCGAGTAATCTTTAACAGTGTCCAAGTGAATAATGCGTTGAAGTCACATTCACATCGTTTTCCTAATGCTTGTTGCACATATAAGTGTAAAGTCTGTAACATACTGTTCTGCTTGTTTCAGTTATTTTCCAATAACAGGAAAACGACAAAGATGGTTCTTGAACAGATATTGCACCGTTTACTCCCTATTCAGCACACCCAAACAGACAAGGGTGCAGTGCCGTCCACGTCGCAGCAACCGCAACAGTCTACCGCCCCATGGTGGTGGTGGTCGGCCAGTCGGGGCCGGAATGAAATCAGTCGCTCAGACAAATCCAGCTTTGTGATTAACAGTTCAGATATGTATCAATCAGCCGCCACTTTGCAGCTACTCGATCCGCAACAAGCGGGGAAGGAGTACAGCGAACGATCCCCGGTTTCATCATTCCATTCTGCGGCACAGCTACACGAGGAAGATATCAGTCAGCCAACGTGGTGTACACGAAATATGGACAAGGACAAAGAGATTTCTCAATTTGTTATATTTCTCCTCAGCCGATATACAGTCTCCATTAATCCGTTACAAGTGAGTTCAATATCGCTTTTGCAATTCAATAATGATGATAATGATGACTCGAACACATCCACATCCTCTTCGTTCATCAGAACTCTTCAACAGCTCATCTAAATGAGAGAGAGAGCGTATGGAATCAATGGTGCATACTAATTTTGGTCAACTGCATTCGGAACACCTACAAATTAGCGTCCATTTCTCCAAAAATTCCCTGATCAATGAAGAGTTACCAAATTAAAAATGTGATGCGCATGGTACATATAATATTTTAAGGGAATATAATTTTTTTATTTTAATTAAATCATGATTCCAAAGAATGTTTGTATATAGTCACTTATTCAGCGCATACATGACGTTGAAGGAATACCAAAGACGCGGCAGAGAAAAATCTGCCAATATTTGTTATCGGTGGTATATTGGTCAATTCAATTGCACTACCAGAGTAATTTCTAGGTATGTCCTCTATCCCGTGCTCAACCAAAGGCCGAATATTGAACTACTATCAAACTGATGGTGAAGTTTGTTGTTTACAGAGCACAATAAACGCGAACTAAAAAACTATGGGGTACTAGAAAGGTGTTTCGATATGGTTGGGTCTCATCAGGAGTGCAAAGCCATCAATCCCACTGAGAATAGAGCCTGGACTCGAGCACAGGCAGACAACCTGCTTTATGGGCTCTGTACACGACGAAATTGGCCGTACCGTCAAAAACAATATCCTCCACTACTCCATGCGATTGACAGATTACATGCCATTAGTAGTTTAGAACATAATTTCAGGTGAACGATTGTTTTCACTAACACATAATCATGCCGTCACAGTTTATATGAGGTGAACAAAACCTAGGGGTTGTCAGGAGAACAATAAAATGTGAGGAATCGTTCACTTTGTGTATGCGTGTGTCTGGGTTTGTGTGTTGCACACCGCATTCACAGAGCTGTTCTTCCGGGGTTTTAAGTTATGTCACTTTGGTTGTGNTGGTTGTGTGATCCAGTTCTTAAGAATCGGTATCGTGTGAAAATGTTTATTTGCAGGCGGGCGGGCGGGTAGGGGGAGGGATGGGTTCGCGAACCCTGGGGAAAAGAAGAGTTTGGATAAGACGCTTCTGGACACATATTTCGGGGGCAAGTGCTCAATACAGATGGCCTCAGCTATGGCCAACGTACGCATTCTAAGGTATTTGGCCCGGTTAGGGGGGACCTGATAAATAATGCGAAGTGCTTCACTTGTGTTCACACGATGACCAGTGTCTACCTAGTAAGCGAGAATCGCACTCGTGATTGATCCGGAACCACCTCGACTCAGCCAGCGCGGCTGGTGTTCTTTCATGCGGATAGATGACTGCCGTGCTGTACGACCAACTTAGAGTCGCAAACGTATCTGAACGAATAAACAATCATTGAAGCGGTCAACATCGGTAGTTTATTTTTTTCGTATGGTTATCAGTGGCGAACATTTGAAAGAATAGAGTAGGTGCGTGGCGTTGAATGTGGTTTTTAGCGCTCCATTCAGTCACCTTATGATGGTTTCAGCGGCAACTTCACCCTTATAAGGAGGAACAATAAAAAGGTATTTTTTCCACTCTATCAGTGTGCACTTTTGGTACCTGTTCCATCATATTTCATTGAATAAAACGGTTGAATATAAACTGGAGTTCATCTTCCAATAGTTCTTGTGAGCAGATTCTCCGAGATCTAGATACCAAACATTTTATCAGGTTCCTCTTCAGCTTAATCAGAATATAACTGTAAAAATTCGTTTATTGGCCACTCCACGTTTTCTCACGGTTTAAGGAGTGGAACGTTCCAAATAAGGCACTTCACTTCGAACAACTATTCATCTAGAAAAAAGAAAGATGTTTTCAGTAAGCATGACTCAACCAATCTGTCTTTTCTTAAAGGGTTCTCTAAACTGTCCAAGCAAGTTCCTTTCCTATTGTCATAGTTTTCTTCAAAGAACGCTATCGTAAATCAAACCGAACTACATGCAGTAGCTAACAATGATCTAGCTATATGCAATGAGAATTTAGTTGCGACTCTTCTCTGGTTTCGGTGGTCGTCCATAGCGCCTCTATGTTGTCACATTTACGGCGTCTTGCTCTTCAAAGCGTATCTGAAAGAAATAACACGAAAAAAATTATTCAAACTCATCCGTTTCAACAGACTAGAGCTTTTCCTCAAACACAGTTTTATGTAATATGAACCATTCCCCTAGAGACCCAACTCCTCATGGAGTCTAGCGCTAAATTAGTGTGATGTATCTCGTTCACGAATATATCACCGGTGCACAGAGAACTCTATCGCAGCTAGCGACCGTCAACTATATACAAAATAAAGTGGTATTCATGCTGACAAGAATTAGGAGGAGCATTGGTAACACGAATTCTCCACAGACCGGCTGATAATGAGTAGACAGTGAAATTCCATTATTCTCTTTTTTCAAGTATAGGAGCCCACACAGATTATGTCCCAGGAAGGTGCAAATCATCAGCGCTGACTGAAGAATCACTTGAGACTAAATTATTTGAACAAATTGGACTTTGGTTAAATGTTCTTGCGACACAAGGTGAGAATGTGAAAGAGACCACAGTGTAACCTAATCGTATGAATCGAGGCACCATTAAGACAGACATCAATGTTTTGCAAAATGAGGTATGCGATGATTATTCTACGATTCTAAACAGAGTTTCTATATATTTTAAAATGTAAAACAGACAGCAATGACAAACCAACTGTGCTAAAAATTCTACCTTGGCAATCAAGAAAACTAGCGCAAGCATCTTGGCACGCTTCTTCAACCGGCGATAAAGACTACTGACAAATAATATTTGTATTTTTGTTGCTGTTCTTTCTGTTTAAAATGTTTTCCTTTCCAGGCAGGCGGAATGATTTTGAGATAAGTTAGTAGGCACTTGGAAATCGAAAGCTATAGAGGGACGGGGGTAGAAACGAGTAGATTATTGAAAAGGCATTACCAGGACTGGACTGCAACCCATGAGCTGATGAAATAGTTGCGTATGCAATCCGGTTAAACCCACATTTAACCTTTCATCGTTTCGAGTAACAGGAGACCAACGAGTACTAGGTAGGCCTATGAAATAAGATCTGTAAGTTCCCATGATAGAATTGTATGAACATGACTTCCGCATGTAACCAGGTCTACATTTCAATCCTTAGCATTCATTGACTTTGCATTAGAATCGAAAATTTTGGAAGCTGAACAACCTTAGAAATAGTCTAAGACAGTTTTGTGCTCATATATTTTTTCCTGTGATTAACGAATTTCTTTATTCCCTGTCCATTATTACATGGATCAAAAGGGCAGAAATTGCTCAGTTTCCATGTAAACCTTAAGTGAGTGTCTCGTTGATTGAGTTGGTGAGTGAGTAACTAAGTGTGTGATAGGGTTTGTGAATGGATAAGTAGGTAACTTGGATGGCGGTTGGATGAGTGAGTGGCTGAATGAGTGAGTAGCACACTTCGTCACTGATCGTAGAAAACTGCAACGCTCTGTACTCCTAAGAATAAACAAACATAGCATTAAAATCCCGTCAAAAAATAGAACATGCGTTTCTCGGATTCCACAAACTGAGTCCACTCATCTCGTTGAAATTCACGGCGGATTGTCTGGAATCCAAAAGACTTTGTCCGGATTACAGTAACGACATCTGCTCCGCTATTGTTTCCCTCTTTACTCATCCAATCTTTAATTGACCCTAATCACCTAAACCAGAGTCAAATAGACACATGAACATGCGTGGTGCATAAAACGAAAAAGTTGAAACTTTTATCCACAAGAATGATCCGCATATTTGGTTGCAGATCTCGATCGAATTGGTTTAAACCCATTTTCTAAATGAATGGACGGAATTACCTCAATTTGAATTCTTATCTAAACGTGATTTATTCTCATCAATCAATTTTAATTAATATTCCTTGTCTAGAAATGGATTTGTTTGCACTTTTGCTCTTTAGTTCATTATCACATTGTTTTATACATCAAAAAACCGAATATGTATGTGTTATTCTTAAGTGATGTACCGCTCATTTAGCTTTTTTGTGAAAATAAATTTTCCAGAAAAACAAACAAGATAATTATTACTTTATCACATCTGATGTGAAAATAATGTTTCATATTTAACAGTATCATCACAAATGTGGTCCCCCTCGGAGAATTTGTCAGAACGGAAATGATTTAGGAGCAATTTTCTTTTTGTATGTTATAACCGATATTTGTTGTCTTCGTTCATAAATAATGGCATCAGTTGACCATGTTGATCGGTAACATGAAATATTACGCAGAAAAAACTTATCTAAAATGTGCATTTATGAACAAAACTGCCAATTTATTTTCAAATGCCTGTGTCTCAGAACAAGCCTGGTTTTCAATTATGATGTTTGCACCAGTGGTCAACTGCAGCATTCGTTCTATCCTGTATTGAGCCCTGCTCTTGGAAGGAAATAACTTCCCCTTGTTTTTAGGGCGTATGAGAAATACATAAAAACCATACAGTCTGTTTGAATTTGCTTTGCTCGTGCCCTCACAGATAATTACTTGCATTCGATAATTTGCCACATGATATAAATAATTGAATATAAATTATTCATAAAATATTTCTTCATCGTTTAGAATACTGATGATGCATTCCAGATCCCGAAGTTCAAACTGAATACATTTACTGTTTTATTTTTACCAAAACGATCAAAGTTGCTCTAGTCAAATTTGGTGTACCAACTAATCCGTTTCTTGAGGACGGATCACATTCGCACCTGTTATTCGGTGTTTCTCAGGGCAAACGAGGTATCTATTTGTTAACCACCCAATTATTGTTGTCTTTTGAATAGTGTTGAGTGAGCTGTGAAGTGCTTTTCACTTCAATCTTTATTTTTGATTTATATGGTCCGTTGGTGAATTCTACCCTGTATGCAGCACTTCTAACGTTTCAAAAGAAAAGACCATATTGCAATACTGCACAATTTATGTCCAGGACAATTTCGCTGCATTTCAACATGGTGCATACTGCAGAAAATACAATGTTTATATAGGGCTTTAGCATAGCAAAAAAAATTAACAAAATACAATTAAAAACAGACAAAACATAAAAGAGGGAGGGGTAAAAGGACCATATCACCAAGGTAGGGAGAGACTACCATAAAGTTCTTTTTGCTGACACAGGGGGTCTCCATCGATTAATCGCGATTGCTTAGGCAAACCTTAGCAATCGTGCCACTTGTGACTTGTAGACAATTCGAAACGCAGTTACTCGGTCGACCTGGTGTTGCGCCATCAGCAGATGCCGAGCAAATGCTGAGGACAAGGTCTTGTAGTTTCGGCCATCGTTTCTATGCAGCGCACTTGACCTCAATTGGGTCAGCTGATTTGGGACTCAATTTGGAATATGTTCCACCACCCGACTGCGTGATTGCCGCTCTGTTCAGCCCACGTAGGTTGCTCCGCAAGCACACTGGAATTGGTAGATTAGATTAGAGTTGGTGTACAGAGGCAGACGTTCTCTTGCCGGGGGTGTGGGTATCCTGGTTGTCCGGTAGAGGATTTGGGGGTTGGCTGCGTAGTAGGTTCGAGCGATTGCTAACCTCAGTCGTTTGTGGAGCAGGCGGCTTACGTCAGCACTTTTGAATTGAAGGTGCAATGTGACTCGCAATTCGGAAACGGACGCAATCGGTTCTTTCTCAATTTTCGGTTTGCTGTGCCTATTAACAAACGCTTCGCGGCAAGCGTTTTTTTGATAAAAACTCCTGGAGGTTTTGCAGTTCTTCTTCAATTCTGTCTTCCGTGCAGATTCGCCTTGTTCTGTCAAATAAGGTCCGAACGTGACCACGCTTATACTCCAAGGGCATAAAACTCTCGAAGTGTAAATATTGGCCTGTCCACGTTTCCTTTCGATAAACGAATCGAGCAATCGTTCCGTCTTCTCTTCTGGTCATATCAATGTCAAGGAAATTGAGTGTGTTGTTAGATTCATGTTCCATTGTAAAGTGTATATCTGGATGTAGTCTGTTGAGTTCATCCATAATTTTCGTAGCTTCTTCTAAGTTTTATGTTATAATCAGGGTGTCGTCGACATATCTTCTGTATAGGATAGCGCGCCCCAGAATATTAAATCCTTTTTTCTTCCAGATGTGCGGTGAACAAGTCTGCCAGGACTGGGCTTATTGAGCTGCCCATAATGACACCATCGATTTGCCTGTACGCATTCCCTTGAAAGGAGAAAGACACATCGTTTGGGCAGAGCAGTAGTAGACGCCCAAGGACGGACACCGGTAGACACAGTCGAATATTTTCTTCCTCTACATGATCGCAGATGATTTACATGACTTCACGAACTGGTACATTAGTGAACAGGGATTGAATATCGAAGGAAGCCATGTGTTTTCCTTCTATGTTGGTCTTGTTCAAAATATCCACCAATTCAAAACTGTCCTTGATTGTATGCTTGACCATCGATCTATAAACTGGTTCTAACACCTTAATCAGCCATTTTGCCATTTTGTGCTGTGGTGAGTTCGTCATGATTAGAATTGGTCTGAGTGGCACACCTGGCTTGTGGAGTTTGGCAGGCCATAAAGTTGGGGAATCTTAGTTCCTCTCGACTTCANTCAGGTCCCGCGCGGTGTTCGAATCGATGAAATGTCCTTCTAAAAGAAACTGAACTTCACAGGCAATTTTCCGTTCCAGCTCTTTGGAGTCATCACATGCCTTTTCTCTGAAGAACTCGTTGGAGTCATTCAGGGTAAATTCCATCTTTCGCTGATAATCTTCTCGGTCCATCAGGACAGTCCCAGAACCAGGGATTAAAAATGTCCAAATCGGACTTGTCCATTAATTCTTTTAAAGCGGATCGATTCTCGGGACTTTTGTCTCGGAGTTATCCGGTATTGACGCTCCAAGTCAACCAGCTTCGCTTTTTATTGCTAAGGTTTGCCTAAGCAATCGCGATTAATCGATGGAGACCCCCTGTGTCAGCAAAAAGAACTTTATGGTAGTCTCTCCCTACCTTGGTGATATGGTCCTTTTACCCCTCCCTCTTTTATGTTTTGTCTGTTTTTAATGTATTTTGCTTAATTTTTTTTGCTATGCTAAAGCCCTATATAAACATTGTATTTTCTGCAGTATGCACCATGTTGAAATGCAGCGAAATTGTCCTGGACATAAATTGTGCAGTATTGCAATATGGTCTTTTCTTTTGAAATTAATCTCGGGAAAGGCTTGTTTCACTTTTAACGTTTTCCATCACGTTTTCTTCGTCTCACATACGGAAAATTCGGTCCCACACATTTGGACATACTTCAACCAGATGTGACAGTCCCATAATAAGATTGCATCACCAAATAATCAATTCAGTTTATCAACCTATACTGTATGCAATCTGTGTTCGAATGCATTTTTATGGCAATGCGAATAATAAAGGTTTATTCATCAACCATTAGTATGTTTCCTCCGCGTTGCAGACTATACGTTCATGCCGTAACCCCAATTGCAACATCCATCATCACACACTCCCCTTCTTTGTACCTTCTAAATTCGTCTCCCAATATACAGGTGTAATATTTCCCCAGATGGGTGTCTCCTAGCAGATGGCATGAGCGCGTTTATTCCTCCCCCTCCGCTCCGCTCCGCTCCTCTCTGCCC